AGCTGATGATGAAGATGCCCTCAATGTGGCATCTTCCAGGTGCTTCTCGGCCCCCAACCCCAGCCTTTCTGCTTCTCTCCCTTTCCATAGGAACAAGGCCCAAAGTCCCCATAGCCCAGCCCAGAGGACGTGTGACAGCATTCTCATGAATACAGCATTGGCAGAGGCCTGGCGGTCGATTCTGGAGCTGCTCTTGCTTTGCTGAAGATAGGAAAACATGAAGACAAGTGAAAAAAAGCCTGAAAGGGCCTGGTCCAGTCCCCAACAGCAGCATCTTGGCAGCTGCTTCTGACCCTGCCGTGGGAGAACAATTGCCCTTGTTTTGAATTCTATGTTTCCTATTCCTTGTAGCCCAGCACCCTGCTGACCACCATCTGGCCCAGCTGTCTACCTGCTACATTTCACAGCATTGACTTCTGCTTATACTTTTCACAAGAGTGAGTGAAAAAAGAAGCCGAGAAAAGAACACTAAATATACAAACAGGACAATACAGCCGCAGGACAACTGGCTGGTGCGGGGAAAAACAGTTGAGGACTGAAAATTACAAAACCCTTGCAAAAAATATTTACAAGTAATCTGAGTCCATTTAGTAAAGCATTAAAGAAATCCCATGTCCACCAATAGGTACTTAAGCTTCAGTATTCCTAGCACAGCCCTGTGTGACAGGGAGTCTCCCCCAAATATTTACTGCACTGGGCATTTAGTCTACATGGCTCTAAAGCAATGAGGAGCTGCATACACAAGATCCCCACTCTCAGGAAGCTTAGGAAGAAAATCCAGGAATGAAATAACTGCACAAGTAAATAATTAAAACCTGTTATATGAATTATCAAATTAAAGAATGTTTTTATACAGGATAACCTGGCCTAGTCCATGTGTTAGTGGATTAGGACACCAGCAAGGAGGCTTCCTCAGAATACTGAAGTTGAAAGAAGAAGGAAAGATAAACTTACTTTATTAGAACAATGAAGGAAGGAGGAAGAAAGGCACAGAATTTGGGACAGGTTGTGGCTATACAAAGTTCCTAAATTCAGAGACAAATACTGAAGCTGTGAAACACAAAGGCCAGAGTGGCTAGCCTGTGTGTCCATATTTATTAAAACTAACCAAGAACAGGGCAAATTATAATCATTATATGCTGCTTAATAAGAAAATCTGGGCTGAGGGTGTAAGTCAGTGGTAGAACATGTGCTTAGCATATTTGAAGCCCTGGGTTTAATCCCCAGCACTGTCAGAAAGTAAGAAAAAAATCAGTATATAATTTAGTTTTTAAATTTTTCTATCTAAAAAAACAGTATAGTAAAAAGTTTATTGATGAAAGTATTAAATATTTTTCCCCTAGTCATTCAACACAAATTTTTTAAGCATCTCCCAATTACCAGTTACTATATTAAATTCTAGGGATAGGTTACACTCTGTGTCATGAGAAACCTTGAAGAAACTAAGGTGAAAAATCACAGCAAAGTACAACACCCCCTTGATGTGGGGAGAAGGGGTCAGAGATTATGGGAACCCAAAGACAGGGGAAAATGAGTTCAGTTGGGTTAGAATTATCTTGAAAATTAATTTATGTCCAGTACAGCATTATTGAATGATACCAGCTAAGTGAACTGTAACTAAATGTAAGCATGAAACAAACCAGAAAAATCTAAACTGACAAATCTCAAAAGGTAATGGAATTGGTTAACAGACTTCGAAGTATGCAAACAATTCTGAGAATGAGGCCATCTCCCGAGGCTTGGAAAATCATTCAAATAACTGGATTTGAGAATAATTAAAATTCAGAATATTTATTTGAGAACCAAAAATAATGAAGAAGAAAGAAAGAAAGAAAGAAAGAAAGAAAGAAAGAAAGAAAAGAAAGAAAGAAAAAAGAAAGAAAAAAGAAAGAGAAGTGGGAGAAAAGGAAGGAGAGAGAGCTGAATTAGACCTGACTCTATTCACAGATCAGGTTCAGACAGACAGACAGACAGAAAAGCCAGTAAAGACTTAACTGGGTCTTTTGTTGAGATACAAATAGAAGACATGCTTCTTATCAGAAAACATTACCGCCATCCTTTTCATACTTGTAGTGTCCAAGATTATTAATAAAACAAAAACCAGGAACCTGGATCTTTACAGGAGTTCTGCTGAGAGTCAGCTGTGTGAGGACAGAGTTCCATGATTTCTCTAAGTCTCAGTTTCTAAGTCACTCCAAAAAATTATGTGCCAATTTACTGTTTTCAATGAATTCATTATTGACTAATTGCCATTATAAAACTCAGGAGAATACAAAGTCATTCTATGAACAATTTGCCAGGCCATTACACCTCAGATTTTATAAACAATACTTTCAGTTTACTGAGAATAACTTGGTAAGTATTTAATGCTTACTAATCATGAAACTATGTAAAGCTAAATAGTAGCTCCGGGGCCTGGTGTCTTTGACTAGAAAGAAAACACATAGAGCCAGGTGGAATACTTTTATGACATCTATGCCCTTCTCTTGTATACAGGAGACAAAGAAAAATGTAAATTGCACAAACATCTGATGTCCTTGTGCATTATGATGAGGATAGGAAAAAACAAGATTATTTCTGTTGTCAGACATATCTTTGCACATCTCAGTCATTTTTGCTCAAAAGTGTTTGATAAAGTTGCCTAAAGTGAATAAGGAGTTACGATATGTGTGCCAAAAAGAGTTTGACGATTAAAAAAAACTTGGAAATGGTTTTGTCACTAGATCCAAAAAATGACACACTAATTATATGCAGTGCTACATAATAATTCCAAGTGTAATTGCAGTGTAATTTCTCTGACATGTATTCACTATCCATCGCCATCAGAGTTATTATGCATAGATTATGCGTAGATTATGTCACCTTGTTTTCCTAGTTCCCCACTATCTTTTTGAGGTGCAGACTTTTCAAATATGTAAAAACCTTTTAAAATATCTTGTGCTTATAATACCTCTTTTATGAAAGGACTGAAACATATGAATAACAACAATACTAATATTAATGCAAATACCCAGCATTCTGGAAAGCCAACCCTGTATTATTTCACAGTTCATTTTATAAAATAACAACTCCAGTGAGGAGATCCCTTCTGTGTAACTTTTCTGTAAACCAGAGTAGTTTGTTCTGCTCTTTTCTATGCCACCCATGTCTTTCTTCTCTCTCCAGTGACCCTGTTCACATCTTACACAACACATACAGGGATCTGAAGGATGTATGTGAGCAGCCTCATGCAGGCTTTAGCAGGAGGGAACACCCACAGCGCTCAGGTTCTCAAGACCAAGGGGCCACAGTCCTGGGACCCCCCAGGGATCCCTGAGGGATGAGCATAGCTGTAGATCCTCCCACTCATGCCCCATCCACACCCCACACTCACTCCACAAAGGCCCTGCTAATGCAGTAGAAACAAATGCTACAATCTCTGACAAACATACAACAAAAGTACTAGTGTACGGAAATGTGTATTTGACAGAAAGATGGGAAAATGGAAGAGTTATATAAAAATTTGTTAAGGTCTGGGATGGTTATTGTCATGTTTCGACTTGGTTGGACAATGGCGCCCCATGGATGTGTTTCTGTTTTTGTTTTAGGTTTGATTAGCATCTGCAATCAGCTGACTTTGAAGAAAGCAGGTTATTCTCCATGACGTGAGTGAGCCTCAGTCAATAGTTCAAGACCTTAAAGAGGAAATACAGGTTTCCTGAGGAAGAAGAAATTCAGCCACCAGATTGCAACATAAGGGACGGGGATTTAGCTCAGTGGTTTTGCCGCCTGCTGCGCAGGCACAAGGACCCAAGTTCGATCCCTGGTACCAAAAACAACAACAACAACAAAAAAAAAACCAAAAAAAAAAACCAGATTGCAACATAATAATTCTACTAGAGTTTCCAGCCAGCCTTCAGCCTCAAGATTGCACCATCACTGCTTATCTGAATCTCCAGCCTCGAGCTTGCTCAACAGATCTCAGATGTGCCAGGGCACACAAACTCATGAGCCAAGTCTTTAAATTCAACTGATAGGATGGATGGATGGGTAGATAGGAGGATAGATGGGTAGATAGATAAATAGATAGACAGATGATAGATAATCTTTCTTCTCTGCCTCAACCTTCCCTGTCCATGTTCTGTCTATATATGTATACATGTATATCTATATCTGTATCTAAGTCCATATCTGTATCTATCTGAACATCTATATCCACTGGTTATACAATCATGGATTCAACCAGCCATTGGTTGAAGATATTCAGAAAAATATTGGGTCTGTAATGAACATGTACCAATGTCTTTAGAGTCATTATTCCCTAAACAATACAGCACAGTGACTATTTACTTAGCATTTCCCTTTTATTAGGTACTCTAAGTGATTTAGAGATGATTCAATGTACACAGGAGGATATGAGTAGGTTCTATGCAAATGCTACACCATTTTATACAAGACAATTGAGCATCTAAGAATATTGGTATGGCAAGAGGTCCTGGAAACAATCCAACTACTTATGTATTCTATTGATTCTTTTACTCTGGAGAAATTTGTCTAATACAAGTATATTCAGAGCATTAAATATACATATATGGGAATAAATTATGTATCTGTATCTATATCTATATCTGGGGATAGAACCCAGGACTTTTTTTTTTTGAGGTATCAGGGATTGAACTCAGGACCTTGTGCTAGTGTGGCAAGCACAGTGCCACTGAGCTAAATCCCCGGCTCTAACCCAGGACTTTGGCACTGAGCTACATCCCCAGCCCTTTTTTATTTTGAAACAGGGTTCATTAATCTACTAAGTTGTCAGGCTTAGGTCTACATTTAGATCAAAGTTGTGTCCTATTTAAATTATAGTGTCTTAAAAATAGCATCTCTTTACAGTTAATAGATTAATATCAGAGAAAATACCAGAAATATCAGCATTAAATTATTTTTCAATTGCCCACAGAAATTTGACTCTGGACCTCCTGGAAGATGGATGACCTCACACAGGATTCAGGGGTGGCACTTACTGACTGCAGAATCATAGGCAGTTGAGTTGTGCTGGCCCCGCGTGAAGGGGTACGGGGACAGGTAGGCATGGGTGCAGTTCTTAAATGGTGGCTGATTGGCTGGGAAGAGAGCAGAAGGATGATACCTGTCACCAAGAAGCACAACAATGATTCATTCCTAATAGGACAGAAATATGGGAGCCTGGCACACAAGCTAAGTAAGATTACCAGTTCCATCAGCAAACTCAGGGTGTGTTTGTATGAGGTACAAAAGCTCATATCAAGAAGTCCAGGGCAGCTGGAGGGCGGATTGATCTAGAATGTCCAAGTACCAGACATAATTTATTTCAATGGAATAAACATAAATGATCTTAGTTTTGTCTTAGAATGGTACTATTCTTCATTTGTGTTGACATAATCTCCAGTACTTAACAGTAGATATTTAAAAATTGTTTTAAAAATCCAAAACACTTAGGTTTCACATTCATTAGCTCTGATGAAAAGAAAATTTCTTCTAAATCCATTCAATTTTTAGGGAAAAGATGCAAATGATAGACCATCCCAGTTAATGACTTGAATGCATTTTTAGCATTAAAAAAAAAAACACAACTTGTATGTTGTTGCAAAACTTAATTTCATTATGTAGATTTTACAGCAGAGTGGGATGTTTTTTTCTTTCTCTAAGTGTTTGGGGAAAATCTTCCTCTTGCACAACCTGACCTGCTTTATTTTCCCAAAGTCTAAATAATTTCTATTGGCAGGTTGCTTGCTTACCATCCAGCCCAAAATGCACTGTAAGGGGGTCAATCCATCCGACATGTCCCCTGAAATACCTCTGCATCATCACTTGGTCCCTTTTACATATGAGAATTTGGCATCAGCTTGCATGAGTCTTCAGGGCCCTCGTGTTCTTATGATATATCCCATGATCTTGACTGTTGTGTATATACATACTTTGATTTTTCACAGGAGCATTTAATAAAAAGACTACTAATTCCAACCCTCAATAAGCTTTAGGCTAATAAACAATTCTTTCATTGGTGGAGGCAATAAAATAAATGATGGCTATTGTCAATGAATTGATTTTTAATGATTAATATAAGAAGTACAGTTGAAAGAATGCAGAGTCTTAAAGAGTTATTCCATTTCAAAGGGGAACTTTAAAGTTTCAATTCAAAAATGCATACATCAAAAGCAAAGCAGTTTTTGATATTGCCTACCAACTTGGGTAAAGCCCAAATAAAAAGCTTTCATCTGCTTCCGATGATAATTAAGTTTCATTATTTTTTAAAAAACAGATTTTTTTCATACTTTGAAGCTACAAATATACAATAATACCTTTATTTCTGGATTTTTACATTTCAGACTTTTATAGCCAAAAATAATTACTTGCAATACAGCAATAATAAACACTTAAAAAATACTATAGACGGCATCTGTTTTGTTTGTTAGGATGACTGTACTTTAAATATGAGCAGAGGAGCCATGAACACTTCAGTTTTGCCATATACAGGCTCCTATTTTGTGGCAGAAGATCACTATTCTTCAAGATATTTCCACTGAAAAGGAATGTCTTCGTGACCTTTTGAAGACACCGTGTTAAGACTGGAGGACCCAATCCTGTGCTAAGCGATCTGCACTGAGTCAAAAGCTTAGAGACAAAGGGATAAAGCCAAGTTGTACTTACTGTACCAGAACTTATAGGTGCTGGAATAATTTTCCTCCCTGACCCCGCTAAACCAGCATCTCCAGAAGAATCCTTCATGGTAGAAGGTGATATCTGCTATCTGCACAGAACACAAACGAAGTAGCTTGCTGTCAATCCAAGAAACAGTCGTCAAAATTATTGCAGGCAGGAAATTTTTAAGGAAATCTATCTTATCCCAAATAATGATGAGCACTAGCTCCCCACATCTCTTATATGGATAAACAGACACCCCACTGACATTCTCCAACTCCAAGAGGCTGCATTAAGGCTCTCCTCACCACTACCCGACACGCCAGGATTCTAAAGAAGAGACGCACTTGCTGTTCACCCGAGCACCTCTCCACTTCAGTCGCAAGAAGCCAATAATCCGATCCAAAAGCCACCAGAAAAAGCAAAACCCCCAAAGCTCCAAAGAGGGCCCCAAAGAAGATGGCGATATTTAGTCTCATCTTCAATCCACTGGTTTACTTTTAAATAAAATAAGAAATTGTAAAATTTCAGATGCCTAACTTCTCAGCAAAAACAACAAAAATATCAAAAACAAAAACAAAAACAGACCAAGATTTTGGAGTAGGCAAGATCTTCTCAAGAAGTCTCCCCTAGCTCATGTTCTGTGGCTTCTCACTTGCACAACCCATGGATTTGTGTCCCCTTTGCCCTGGAGGGACTCCAGCCTAGCAGCTGAAAATGGCTGCTATTTTAAGGCACTGATTGAAGAGCTGTCATTATCTCATGGGAATCAAAAAATAGCTGACCTTCCCTGACTAAGGAGGTGTGGGAGGAGGTGGCAGGGATGAGTAATCCATAGAAGTGGACAGATGACCAGCGGCTGCAAAGTCATTGACAATGTTGAACCCCAATACAAGGTGTCTGAACAAGGTTCTCTTGGTCCACAATAACCATTACAGCCCCAAAGACACTTAAGATTCTCTTTGAATATGCAAAAATCACAGCTATAAAGAACCACAAAGACTAAGCTGTAATTCACCTCTTAATTCTTTGTAAACATTTGGGGAAAGAAAATAATTTTTTAGTTCAGGGTGATGGTTTAGCCATACACATGTACACTTAAAGGATAAAAAAATTTTTTAATAGTGACATACATATTGATAGTATTTTTGAAATACATTTATGCATCATCAACTAAGGACATAAGAACATTTCCAAGGTACCTCACAGATCTATAACAAGTTATTCTGAATAATAATCTCAAAAGTGAAATGATAGAAAAAGCCTCAAAAATATATTGTTTTCTGGGTGAAGAAAGGACCTGGTCTATTCTTTATATTCTCTTCAAAGTATATGGCTTCTTCAAAATATTAATCATACTTAATACCCATACTGACCACCTAATATTCACGAATCTACAAGAGTGATCAAAAGATATGGTGAATGCTTAAATTTTTAAAAGTTATTACAGTAAACACACACTGTCATTAACTCCTTCAAAAATACTCCTTCTCACTTCAAACTTACTTATCGCATTATCTTTGCCACATTCTGAAGCAGTTCTGGAAGTCTTCTTTCTTGAGTGTCTTTCTCAGAGAAAGATGGGATAACTGTGTTTAAAGGAAGAGGGGGTATTTTGAGGGGGACTACTGACAATGCATCCTTTACTATAATACATTTTTTAAATGTATACATTCACCTTGTTTGATCACACCTCATACATTTTCTTCAAGCCTTGCTGCTTTACAATTAGTTCATTTGTTCATTTGGTTTTCATGTCTGAATATGCCAGAGAGTGATTCTTTTTTTTTTTTTTGGCCCTTTTGGCGACCATGTCCTTGTATCTCAACAATAACAGGGACTGCTTCATCTTCTCAGGAGGTATCTGAGCTCCATCTGTTTCCTTCACCCCTTCTTTTGGCTTTGTTTAGGATAAATCCATATGTACTATTTGTATATACTTACATAAAGTGCCTCAAATAATTTTGAGAAAAGAAAAAAGACTAAACAATGAAGCAAACCAAAAGAGACATCTTGCAAAATCAAGTGTGAGAAGAAATACCCAGTTCTATTTGGTTTTGCCATTCAGTAAGTTCCTTGAAATCTTTGGTCATCCCTCCATTTTTTCCCTTAGTCTTATTATTTCCACTCATATAATTTCATGCCCTATAATTCCTGGAAATGACTTTTATAGTTTCCAGTTACCTAGAGAAATTATGGTGAAAAGATAAAAAACCAATCTTTTGAAATCTAGAGTACACTGAGATCATGAACATGCCAAGATATATACCCCTATCATCAGTACATACCCTATTACTTAGCAAATATCCAGTTGTATTTTATTTGTGAGTGATAATGAGCAAAATGTTTCTTTTTCTAAGGTCAAAGTTTCTAGTCTTACTATACAATATTCTAAATTATCTCAGAGTATTTAATAAAACTATTTAAACATCCTCCAGAAGAAAGTAAGTCAGATACACTTTATTTTACAAATACTCATGCATGGTAGTGCACAACACCCAACAATGCTGAGCATATTTGTAAACAAATATAGAAACAAAACTCTCAGGGCTGAGAATCTATGTTTCAGTAAACTGGAATGCTTTACCAAAGAGAACTGAAAATCTTTTTATAAAATATATTTTATGGTAAATTCTTTGTTCATAGGATAAATGGTACAGGTCCACAATATCTACAATAAGTCCAATATATAAAATAAAAAGCTTTTAACAAAGCAGATCTGATGGGCAAGAGGCTGTATAAAGTTAATGAGGACTCTCATCTATTTTATTGTATAAATATGAATACCTTTGATTACAGTGTCCCCAGGTTTCAGGGGGGATACTGTGCTAAGTAATATACAGAATATGCATGCTGCATCTTTTCTAAAATCCCTCAAATTCTGAATGTTAAAGCCTGTAAATTACAGAAAAGGGATTGTGGTCCATAGCCCATACCTAAGACAGTGAATTGAGTAATGACCCTAAAAATCAACTGTTCCTATGAACATCATTGAAACAGACTTTTACTGGTTTGAACTACATGTCTCTGTGACCCTAGCAACGTTTTTCATCTTAGTTGTTTTTTTTGGGGGGGGGGGTACTGGGGATCTTAGTTGTTTTTTATACATCATGGTTCTTGTGTGATATCCTCTTTTTCACTACCTCTTCCACTACCAATGTGACCAAATGGTCACATCATAAGCATTTTGAGGTACTGTTCACAGACCTTCTATTCTTACATGTTACAAGAACAATTAACTTGGCAGAGGACCAGAGCCCTGCCTAGCACCAAGCAGCTGAGCCTTTGGGGCTCCCGTACCACTACCCTCAGTGTATAGGAAAAAAGCCCCACCCAGAACCAAGGAGGTGAGCCACTTGGGCACCAGCAGCACCCCCCCCACACACCCCCATAGAAATGAGAAGACACATGAACAAGTCTCAAAACCAGACTTCCAGATCACCTAAAGCAACCTCAAAGGGAAACGAGATGGAACAATCTGATACTCAACCATCTGGACTCCTTGAACTGGCAACAAAAGAGGATCTGGAAAAAATGAAATCAGAAATAATTTCTCACATAACAACAGAGATTGTGCCCATAGTGCAAGACATAATTAATAAATCTAGAGAGGACACAGATTAAAAAAAAATAGAGGAGCTGAGGAACGTGATGGAACCCCAACATAGGAAACAAATGGAATCCATAAAACAAATGCAAACAGATTCCTAGGAGATTAAAATCTCCATTGAAAGTCTACACAGGAGAATGAGCCAATGTGAGGACAGAATTTCAGATATAGAAGATAAGATTACAATTAGTGACCAGGAAAAGAAAAATGTCTTTAAAATAGTAAAGGACCATGAGAAATCAATCCAGCAGCTGCTAGATGATCCAAAGAAGAATAAGACTGATTAGAGTCAATGAAAAAACAGGAGATAGTGCAGATAACATAAACTGTTCACAGAAGTGATGGCAGAAAACTTCCCAAGCAGGGGAAAAGAACTTGACATACAGATAAGTGAGGCATATAGGACTCCAACCAGCCTTGATCAAAAAAATTCTACACATAGGCATATAATAGTTAAGATCCAGAAACCCAACAAAAGAACAAAATTCTACAAGTAGTTAGAGAAAAGTAATCACATACAAAGTGAAGCTCATCAGAATCACAGTAGACTTCTCACAAATAGATAGACCAACTAGACAAAAAATGAGCAATGAAATACTAGAATTAAATCAAACTCTTTAACAAATGAACTTAACAGATGTTTACAGTCTTCCACCCCACAAAATCAGAATACACATTCTTTGAGCTGCACACCAGTCATTCTCCAAAATAGACCACATACTTGCTCATAGAACATGTTTAAGTAAGTGCAAAGGAACTGAAGTTATCCCTTGTATATTATCAGACCATAGTGTGATGAAATTGGAGATCAATAGCAAAAGAAACACGAAAAATTTCATAAACATATGGAAATTGAACCACACTTCTGAATAAACAATGTGTCACAGAGGAAATTAAAGAAGAAATCAGACAGTTCCTACAATTAAATGACAATGACAATACAACATATCAGAATCGATGGGACACAATGAAAGTCTTACGAGGGAAATTCATAGCAGTGAATACTCATATTAGGAAAACAGAGTGACCCCAATTAAACAACCTGATGCTGAACCTCAAGGTTCTAGAAAAAGAAGAGCAGGACAAACCCAAAGCTCATACAAGGGAGGACATAATAAAGATCAGAGCAGAGATCAATGCAATGGAGACTAAGAGAACGATACAAAAATCAATGAAGCCCAAAGTTGGTTCTTCGATAGAATAAACAAAATTGAAAAATCCATAGCCAACCTTATCAGAAAAAGGAAAGAAAAGGCCCAAATACATACAATTAGGAATGAAAAGGATGAAATTGCAACAGACCCAGCAGAAATCCAGAGGATCATCAATACCTACTTCCAGAACCTATATACCAATAAGATGGAAAACAAAGAAGAAATGGACAGATTCCTAGATACATATGAATTACCAATGTTGAATGAAGACCTAAAAATTCCAAACAACCCAATATCAATCAATGAAATTAAAAATGTAATTAAAAACTTACCAACTAAGAAAAGCCTGGGTCCTCATGGCTTCACTGCTGAATTCTACAAGACATTTAGAGAGGAACTACTGCCAC